ACATGTTGAAGAGTCGCCGTGGTGCCTCCTTGGTGACGAAGTAGCTGGGGGTCTTCTCCACCGTGATCTGGCTGTCCAGCGTTCGCGGCATCAGGCTCCTGCAAGCAAAGCACAAGGTGATGGTGAGGAAGGAGCCGGGCACCGAGAGGTGATGTCCACGGCGCGGGGTCAGTGGGATGTCTCCTCCTGCAGGACAAGGCAGAACAAAGCAGGACAAGGCAGGCACAGCTCCTCCTGCAGCACTGCAGAAGGCCCCTGGCCATGGACACCTCCTGTGTCCATCCCAGCCCTGGGTAACTCCGCGCAGAGGATGTGGGCACCGCAGGCTTGCACAGCAGCAAGTGGAGATGCTCAGCTCCGGGGTGAAGCCAGAGCCAGGCAGGACCCGTGGGGACCCCAGGGCGTCAGCAGGTCCTGCCTGTTTCTGGCATCGGGAGCCAGGCTACAAGGGCAGGGAGGGAGCACCAGACCCAGAGAGAATGCAGCATCCCTGCAGCCCAGCTTAGCACTAATTAAATCATTTGCTTTGACATGTGAACATCCAAATCAAATAAAAACTAATGGGATGGAAAGATTTATAAATTGCTCTTGTATTACTAAACTACCAAATCCACTGCAGCCAGATTCACGGTGCCGCAGGTCTCCTGTCTGGAGCGGGCAGGGAATGCTGGCAGCCAGGATGAGGCCAGCGGTGCTCTGGCAGGGGAAGCCCACGTCAGCAGCCCTGTCTGCAGCAATTCAGCTGGAGCGAGCAGGGCACTGATTTGTTCATGGGATAACCCCACACAGCTGCCATAGCCACGCTGCCTTGCTGCAACACGGGTGTTCCTGAGAGCTCCATCAGTCTGGTGATCGAGACCAGGCACCTCCAGGGTCCCTAAAACATGGTCCACAGCCCCCAGCTTTGGGGCTTGCTCTGTACAGAGAAACCCAATGAAAGACCTAACAGGGAGGTGGGACAACAGCAGCTCACAACATCCTGTGTGACCAGGGGACCACGATGAGGACCTGGGGCATTGCGGGGGGCAGCAGCACACACCAAGGGCAGTGGGTCCCTATGGGGAATGAGACTGTGGTCCAGGGGAACCAGAGAGGCAGCTGGAAGAGAGCCATGAGAGATACTGCAGAGACATGCCCAGAGGTCTGTGCCAGGCTGCTGGGGACAATGGCAGAGGCCGGCCTCACTTCCCGGGTGCTGGCATAGTCCCCACACGACCCCATGACACGGCTGCCTGTGCCAGGGGCCACCAGCAAACACCTCCTTGACGATTTCCTTGTTTAAAAGAGAACAAACTAATTAGTCAACATGAATTAACGGGGCTGTTTTACAGAGGTACCTGAGCACAGACGTGGCTTAATTGGCCTTTCCCACTGCTCCGCTTCCAACCCCATAAATCCAGATTACGATTCCCGTTGTTTAATGACCGCCAGGAAATGCTAATTTAGCGGCAGGCACCGCAGCTGCATCTGCGTATCACAAACAAGTTTCACTATACATCAGCGTGGGACAGCTTTGTAAGTGATTCACTATTATAATCATAAAACTGCTGTTTCATTAATGGCTCATCTTCAGGCTTGTTAGACTTCCATTACGTGAGCTATTAGGTCCATGTATTCCAAAAACGAAATTACAGGTTCTAATCCATTATGAAAAACACAAAATCTCTGCACAGTAAATTACTGAAATGAGACAAGAGTTTGTTTCTTTTTAAATGGACTCCCAGTGTTTGCTGATCCTGAACAACAGAGACTGCTGAGGCAACAAAACACAGCCCGAATAGATAAATAAATCACCAGCGAAACCATGCAAGGGGGAGAAATGTCATCCAGGCATTCATCCTCACGTTAACGGCAAGATCCCCAGGGCTGCAGGAGTGGGGAAATGCATTGCAAACTTAATTACACTTGACTTTAAAATGATATTTTGGACTTCTGCATTCACAGAGTTATTTGCATACAAATAGCATGTCACACAGTTTCAAGCCCGAGGCTCGTGTGCTCAGATATGAAGGCTCTCCATAGCCGGTTTGTGGTGCTGCGCGGCCAAGGCTCAGGCAGGGGCCGGTCCTGGTGCTCTGGGGACCTGTCCCGGCCCCCCCGCAGCACGACCCACACTGGTGTCACACCAGCGCTGCCAGGGCTCTCCCCATCAGGCTGGAGAAACACCAAGGCTTTCCCCACCGGCCCCAGTGCACCCACCAGCTGCATGTATCCTGGTGATGGGAATGTGTGGTGCGGCAGGAATGGAGGAGGTAAAACCGCTGATGCCGAGTGAACACCAGGGCTGTTCCATGCAGGAATCATTAAGGACGATGAAGCAAACTCCTCTCTGGCCCTGCAGCAGTGCCGTGGGCTGGAGCATGGAGCAGCCTCTCCCTGCCCTGTGCCCGCTCCCTCCGACTGCCTGGGAGAGCAAACCCTCTAGGGAGGGCACTTAATTCCCGAGGCATCTCAGCTTGCCCCAGCACAGCCTGGCAGTGGGGGCTGCAGGCACATGTGCCCCATGGTGCCCCCACAAACCGCCCGGGGCCAGGGGTCCCATGCAGCAGCATGTACTGGGTGTACCAGGGCAGCCCCGCACCAGTCAAATCCCCAGCTCAACGCGTACTCTGGCTGTTGAGGCAGCATTAATTCCTCTTGAATTAGAGATTATTGTCATTAAAGTTACTCAATTCTTAAAGCCCTTTAGTGCCATTTGATATGGGCATTAGTGCTCCCTCTCAGCCTGCAGATTGAGAGGTTGTGTTCACCCATGTTACTGCACAGGGACACACGTGGGGTACACACAGTCGCCAGCACGGCCCCAGGAGAGCGGCTGTCCCCTGACATGGCCTCGCTGTGC